CTAGTTATTTTTTTCTTTTCTTTTTTTACGAAGTTAATTTCACCATAGATTCATTATTAGTATGAATAATGTCACCAAGGACATAATTATTTGTTTAGTCAGTTGCTCCCTGGGCTCCTAGCAGATAAAACCAATAAAGTACATGGCATTTCTGTTCATGAAAAATCATACAACAACTCATCTCTTTGCAAAGAGGTAAGACTATTCATTTCCAAAGCCAGAAAAAGTTGCTAGCATTTATTTGCCATTGCTTATGTGTTCTTTCACTAGCAGAATTCAGAGGGAAATCATTTAATAGTTTAATGAAAATTGGAAATTCTTTTCAGATTACATTTAGACTTGATTATAATAAGAGCGAAGGGTGTTATTCTCTACACCACTGTAACCAATGGTAACCTTGCATTTTACCTTACATTTGCAGGTATTCTTTCCTGGATGAGCATGTGGGGCTTGATGGTGTGCCAAAGTTAACTCAAAAGCATAGCCAATAACATCCAGTGCTTATCAGATCCAAAACAGCACTTTGGGTTAAATTTCCCCAAATGTGGTGGGGAATCACCAGAGAGTAAGTATAAAATGTATGTCATATGCATGGCTAAAGTTTACATGGGGCTACTGCCTTGGAAGTTGTGCAAAAACAGTCCCCAGGTTACAACAGTGAGTTTAAGTATTTCTACTAGGAAATTTGAAGCTAACAAAGTACCTTCAGGTTCAGAGAGAATTTTAAAATAATCTCTGAACTGACACTTTGTTCTATATAACATGTCAATGAATCTGAACATAACTTTTTTTTTTGAGAGGTTTTTGCTATAGGGCGCATGCGCTCGCCAGACAGACAGAGACAATGAGATAGAAAGTGAGAAATCACCCCCCGGGGGGGATGGCCATGCTGCAATACCTTCTCCTCCATTCTCCTCTCAGGATCTTGGGCACGCATGCACACGCGCCCAGCGTGAGTTTAAGCCACCAGGGTCAGGGGCTCGAACCGTGATCGACTACGTGGGAGTCCAGCGACATAGCCATCACGCTAACTGCTGATCCCTCTGAACATAACTTTTGAATAGTACTCTTGTAAGGGACTAGGATTATGGATAGGACCTGCTTTGCAGCACAATGGATAGGCACAGTGAAATTGGATCCCACCTGGCCCACTGGGGTTCCATCTCAGCCCTATTGGCTCCATACCAGGGGCATAACTCCTGACTAAAAAAGGAGAATTTGTGGGAAGAAAGGTTGCAGCTTGACCAGCCTCACTGGAGGATGTACTCATTCTCTTGCTCCATCCCTCTCTTGCACATGCATGTGTACAAACCTTCCAGCAAACACATACACACACACAAAAAAATAAGGTGGAAAAAAGCTATGGCCACAGCTAGTTTAATCACTGCCATAACATATGAGAGGGATTATGAAAGGATATCGAAAATATTTCTCTTTTTTGTAGACTCTTAAAACATGAAGGTTGCAAATAACTTAGTAGAGGCAAACACCCTAAACACTTTTAAATGGTTATTTAACTTACTCTTGAACATTTCTACTCCATTTTTTAGTCTGTCTCAAAGCATAATAATTAGTCATGTTAATTAAATTAGGCTACATTTAAGTATTTGGAACCTCTGATGTTATTTTTCTTCTTTACTAAAAAGAAAAGTTTGAGTTATTCCATCAAATAACTCAAATGAAAATGTAAAATAAGTATATGTTTGTTATAAATTTAAAACATGATATAATGGTGATGAATTTGTAGTGAAATGACCTAACCATGTAGAATAAAGTGGCATATATTTCTAATAGAAAAATCCTAATGAAACAATTAAGTTATAAGCTAAGGATACCTTGTTAGTAAAAATATGAAAAATAATACCATAATAATAATAATAATACCTGAATCACTAGGTTTTGGGAAATTCAGATTCTCATTTACAAATGTCAGAAATATACACTGGGATACATTACCTAAAGGACCAGTCTGTCAATAAGCATTAGAAGTCCTTCATTCTGTCTTTTTGACCACATCTTAAATGCAGAAGAAAAAGATTTTTATAAAAAAAAAAAGCCCACTAGAGATCATTACATAACAAATGGAAGCAACATTAATGATTCACACTAGACCTATTGATTTTATAACTGTCTTCCTTATATGATGGAATATGATGAGCAAGTAAAACTGTGTTTCTGAAGAATATTTAATGATATGAGAAAAAATATGCCACAAGGCCTTTAATAACAGTTGAGTGGATAAAATGGACTTATGTGGGGAAATCATCAAATATTATTAACAATATAATATTCACTTTATAAAACATAAATAACTATATTACATAATTATATAAGTACAAACAGGTTGTAAATAAACACAAGATATCAACAATGATGACCTATGTGATGTGATTGTGGGAGATTTTCCTTTCCTATAGTTTTCTATTAGCTTAAGTTTGTGCAATAAGTGAATATGGATTGAATGACTGAGGTAATTTTTTTTTTTTTAGAGAAATTTTTGATATACTGCACATGCACTCACAGGAGAGACAGAGATACAGAAAGCAAGAAATTATCGCCCCAGGGGGAATGGTCACACTGCAATCCCTTTCTCTTCATTCTCTTCTTGGGATTTTGGGTAAGCACACACATGCACCCAGTGTGAGTTTAAAGCCACCAAGTCCAGGATTAGAATTATGGTCAACTACATCAGAGTCCAGTGACGTAACCATTACACCATCTGATGGCCCCTGACTGAAGTAAAAAACTGAGAAATGATTAGTAGTAGCTGACCATAATTGAAAATTGTTTGGTAGCAGGAAGTGAAACATTCATAGTCTAGAATTCCAGAATAAGGTCATTATTTAAACAATGATGTAAAGTTATTTACAGATTTCACTTGGGTTATTTTCTCCAACTAAGGACACACGCTTATATATTTTACTACCTGTAATGGTGTACTACTCAGTGATATTAATCTGGGGTCAATGTATTGGCCAGTATAAAAGCACTGGCTTAATGCTGGAAGAATTGATAAGAAGAGCATTACAGACACTAACTGGGAGTATGTGTGCTTCTCAGGAAAACTACACATGTTAGTTTAGGAGAACAGTCTCTGCATGAGTAGTCTTCACTGAAAGGCTGTCAACACTCAAGCAAACTACATATTCCTAGAGCAGCAGCCTTTTCCTAGGAATGTGTCTATAAACTATGTTACCCTATGGAAACTGTCAATAGAAAAGAAACACAGATGGATAGAGCAGATATTTTGTGGGGAATATCTTGACATATTGTATAAAAATCACTTTAACTACAAAATAATCAGTGTCTCACAGGGAGATTCCATTGTAGTCATTTAGTGAAGAAATACAGATGTCTTGGAGGTAGTGTTTGTAGCTAGGAAACAATAGAAAAACTAACATTGTAATTAGTGTGTGATTATTGGAACTTACAAAGAATATGCAATTGCCCAAATTCCTGAAATTTTAATCTTTTAATTAAAATGCTAAGTTTTACTTTCAGCTTGACCTGGGTCAAATGCCAGTTCCCATACATTTAGAAATACAACATTGCTCTTCATTTCTCATATTTCTCATTCTCATAAGACATTTTGTGATTTTTTTGACTTTTGAGAATACTCACACCTAATAATTAAGTTTTACTTATTTAGTATTTTATACTTAATTCTTGTTAACTATTAATGCCTGATAATAACTGTTCTTTGGGGGCATAAGCACAGAGTCGCAGCCCATCCTCAGGCAAGAGTGCCAAAGGGCAGAGAGGTACCTGGAAGAAATACAGGGGCAATAATTTCTGCCATTTTCATGGGCAAGGTGAGTCTTTGGAGAAAGAAATTACAGCAAAGAGTTCAGCTCTTTCCACAACTCTATTTTCTAGCTTCTACCAAAATGAAAAGATATTTATATTTTATGTTATTAATGGAGCTGACAAATAGCCTTAGAAGCTATTTGGAAGCTAAAATATCTATGCATAAACTACAGGATACCAGTAAGGGTTATGGAAGCCTACAAACAGTATCCTGCTATCTGAGAAAGACAACAAAACTCCCATTTCTCAGATTTCTGGCAAGACATGAATTGAGTAGGATATCAGGCATAAAATGAATTTCAAAACAGGAATTTATGAGAGGAAACGAAGCGGAGGCTATTCAAACTGATAAGAGAGACATAAACTCAAACTTCCTTTTTATTTTTTTATTTTTTTAAAATTTATTTCTTTTTGTATATACATTCAATCACATTGTTTAGCTTACAATGTGAGCATTTCAATATGTGAACATTTCTCCCCAGTCCCGTTGATCAAAATATCTTCAACCAATAACACCACACCTCCCCATCCCGTCAGGAAAGAAGAATTTGTGGAGGAATATGGAACTCAGGAAATTTTGTTATATAACCCAAAACTACTGCTCTCAGATTGGCCAAATAATAAATAACACTGTAAAATGTAGAAGATATTAAGGCAGTAATTGAAAGGAAAAGCATTTGCAAAGCAAAGGAAATGTATAGGTAAGCCACTGGTGGTATTCTGTTACAAAGCTATGAGGATAATTTGTTGATATGTTGTACTGGTCATTGGACAAACAACTCTTATACTTTATTTTTCTATTAGTCAACACATCAATCTCATACTCTGCATGGAAAACTGGATATACCATAATGGCTGCCTCTATTTCATGATCAGTGAGATCCTTGAGGTGCGTTCTATCCACTGTAAAACTGGTCCTGTAACTGGACTAAAAATGAAACTCTAGAGGGATAGTTTCCATTTATCACATTCTTAAGACCTGGTTAAAATAAAGTACAGGGCAATGACACATGATGTTATTACTTCTACATCAGCAATATTGATCTTCAACTAAAAGAGAAGTATGCATCTACTGGCCTGCTTAGATTTTCTCTATAAAATATATTAAAATATCATTTGTATAGTTTATTCTTCAGATTGAACTATATTATATGATTTATTAAGACAAGCTTACTATATATCTGAAGACAGTGATGAAAAACCATTCTGTAATAACAAACTTCATCTTGCTAGGATTGACAAGTGACCCACAACTACAGATTTTTCTGTTAGTATTTTTGTTTCTCACCTACATTCTCACTGTTATTGGAAATCTAATCATTATCATCCTCACACTGGTGGACTTTCACCTTAGAACACCCATGTACTTTTTCCTTCAGAATTTCTCCATCTTAGAAATAATATTTACAACTGTCTGTGTTCCAAGATTCCTATACAGCATGACAACTGGGAACAAAAATATTACCTATAATGCTTGTATCACCCAATTATTTTTTGGCATCCTCACTGGGGCAACAGAATTCTTTCTTCTAACTGCCATGTCTTATGACCGCTATGTGGCCATTTGCAAGCCCCTGCACTACACCAATATCATGAATGAAAGAGTATGTACCATTCTTGTCCTTTGCTGTTGGCTACTTGGGTTGATTATCGTGTTCCCACCACTGAGCGTGGGAGTTCAGCTAGAGTTCTGTAATTCCATCATTGACCATTTTGGCTGTGATGTGTATTCTCTTCTCAAGATTATATGTTCAGACACTCAGCTGGTAGAACAACTCATCTTGATCATGGCTGTACTCACCCTCATATTCACATTAGTCTGTGTAATTGTATCTTACATATACATTATCAAGACTATTTTAAATTTCCCTTCTGCTCAGCAAAGAAAAAAAGCTTTCTCCACTTGTTCTTCTCACATGATAGTTGTTTCCATCACCTATGGAAGTTGCATTTTCATCTATATCAAACCATCAAAGGAAGAAGTGGCCATTAATAAGATGGTGTCATTGCTTAACACCTCAGTTATCCCTCTGATGAACCCTTTCATTTATACTCTACGGAATAAGCAAGTCAAGCAAGCCTTCAAGGACTCAGTAAAAAGGATTGCATTTCTTTCAAAGAATTAGGAAAATATTTTTTTAATAAAAGTACATATGCATAATCATTTCATTTATGATGTGTTCTAATTCCAATCTACAGTACAGTCTGATTCCCATCAAACTTCCTTTTATATTTATCTTAGAACCACAGTTTATATTCTCTTATAATCACAGACTAAAGTAAAGGATACGGCCTTACTTTAAACACATCTTCTCTCATAATGATTCATTTTCATACCTGAAGATAAAAAAGATATCTAGAAAGAAAGTACAACCTCAATATCCATTCTTATGTCTGAAACACAAAAGACTGCAACAACAATGTGAGTTTTATTTATCTCTGGATTCCATCCAAATCTTGAATCTTATGTCTCAAAAAAAAAAAATAGAGTTCATATAGTTCTCAATTTTTTTGTAATCGAAACCATTCTGCTACAGAGGCCCTTTTGAGCATAATTCAAAGATTTGATTTTTTTCCATAGTTGTTGAGAGAGAAATAGATAGACTAAGATGGAATTATTTCATCACACTAATTTTTTATTAAAGTGGAATTTGAAAATTTTCTCTTATGGAGAAAACTAAAGACCATGCATCTGAACATCTCCTATTTGACTCAAAATATTTAGAGTAAAGAAAGAGAAGAAAAGCCTAAAAACTAACAAAATTAGCTCATATATTCATGAGTGAGGAAGAACTGCAGGTTCATATTCACTTTACTTAGTGCCAATTATGAAGATTAATTTGTTAATATAAATTGCACTCAGGGAATTAGAAAGTAACCAGCCCATTTTAAGCATTAGCTCCAACCCTGTCACCATAAATATTTTGTTCATAATCCTAGTAGGAAAGGACACTTATAGCATGAGAAAGAAGCTAACAGATTATCCACAGCACGGATGAGCTAATCCACTTTACTTCTTTTTGTTTTGTTTGTTTGTTTGTTTGTTTTTACTATAGAATGCTTGTGCTGGCCAGAGAGAGAGAGAGAGAAAGGGAGAAAGTAAGGGAGAGGGAGGGAAAAATCAGCCCCACCTCCAAGAGAGACGGACACGCCACAATCCCTTGTCCATTCTCCTCTCAGGATTTTGGACATGCTTGTGCAAGGTTCTGGCATGTATTTTCAAGCACCAGATCCAGAACTGGAACTGCATAGTCAGTCACGTGAGTTCCAGCCGCCTTAACTACCATACCACTAACTGGCCCATAATCCACCTATTTTACAAGTTCTTTTTCCACTGAAGTTGTTCTTTAGTATTTACATAGAGCACAAAAATATTCACATTTGGAAAGACGGGGGTATTTTTGTTTGTTTTGTTTTTAGTTTGCCAGAGAACACATATGCTTCTGAAGAGAGATGGGCAGGGCGGGGGAGAGGTGGGGGGAGAGTATGAAGGATGATCATACCACAATCTCATCTCCATTTTTCCCTCTTTTCAGGATTCTTGGCACTCATATACACACACTCAAGTGTTTTTCAAGCTGCCAGGTCTGGGACTCAAATGCATGGTCAGCTATGTGGCAACCAGCAGCCTTAACTGCCAGGTAATGGACTGGCCTAAATTATCTATTTTGAGTGATGTAACCACATACCTCTTGGTTATTAATCATGACTCATAGAAGGTTCTGAAGATACAGTCAAGCCATTAGCCATCTATCATGAATTAGTGTCAATCCATACTTTGGGCCATCTCCTTTTTCCAGATGAACTAAACTGTGTGTTGTACAGTTCAAAGTTCTTCCCATTAGTAAGATTTATTTGTATCATATTTTTTTAGGACAATCTTTGTAGTCGTTTATCAAGTATTACCAGGCGCCAGAAATAGGCCATGTGATATCTAGCACCCTAACGACCACACTGCCTGCTGACCCAAACCATGCATTTTTACTTTCAATTCTAATTATTCATTGTTGGTACATAAAAATGCAATTGATGCTTACATATTGAATTAATTACTGTCTTAAGCTTACTTATTAGTTTTAATGCCAATTTTCTATTTCCATTCATTTTCTTTTTTCATTTAATGACAATAATTTTCTTATCAAAATTATAAATTCTGCAGAAAATTGATGATTCTCTTTTTTCTTTTCTTTTTTTAAATTCTTTTATACATTCAATCACATTACTTAGCTTACAAAGTGAACCTTTCAATAGGTGAATATTTCTCCCCAGTCCAGTTGATCAAATGACCACGACATGTGGTAATATAAACTATTTGAATGCTCCATGTCCAATCTGTTATGGTTTGGCTTATGGTTTGTCTCTCAGACATTCATGCTTTTGGATTTAGTTCTCAATGCAAGGGTGTTGGGAGGTCATAAAGCTAGCATGTGGTGATTAAATCATGGTGAATGGATCAAAAAACAAGACTAAATTAATGTTGTCTAGTGAGACATTCATTGCATTCTAGCTATCCTGAGAAGGGTTAATTCTCAGAACAGGATGTTGTAAAAGGAAGATGACTGTCCCTAGGTTACTATCACTCCACACGTGCCCACCATCCTCTCTGCTTCTGTCAGTCATGTTGTACTGCCATGATGCTGGACACATGCCTGTAGACTTTTCAGTCACCAGAATCATGAGTCAACTAAACCTCTATTCTTTATAAATCATACAGTCTTGTGTATGTCTGTAAGCAACAAAATAGTGGACCAACTCACAATCTATAGTCCTTTTATATTTTCCTGCCTTATTGCATTGGTTGGGTTCCTCAGAGAAAGAGAATGTACATATTCTGAGGGACAAAGACAGATATATATATAGATAGATAGATAGATGATAGATAGATAGATAGATATAGATATAGATATGCACATACACACACATCAAAAAATCATGATGTATTTTTCTGTTTTTCTATGCAAAAATGTGTCATGATTTTTCCAATTACTATATTTATTTATTTATTTATTTATTTATAAATATAGATAGATAGATAGATAGGGAGAGAGAGATTATCAGTAATAGCTCTCATGGTTATGGGATTGAGAAGTCACAATATCTTCAGTAAGTAAAATAGAGGCCCATGATGGCTGATGGCACAGTTCCAGTTCTAATCCAAAGATTTGAGTACAAGAAGAGCTGATGATATAAATCCCAGTCAAACCTAAAGGCATAGAACACCAATGCTCAAGTTCAAAGACAAGGAAAGAAACTAAATTCTCCCTGACTTAGTCTTTTTATTTTATTCAGGTCTTTAACAGATTTGGGTAAGGCCCACCCATTTTGGGTAGAACTGATCACCAATTTCAATATTAATCTCATCCAAAAATATCCTCACAGACACTCCTAGAATAAAGTTTAAACTAATATTTGGGCATCTTTAACGCAGTAAATTGAAACATAAAATTAACTATCACAGTCCATTAATACAATGATGAATAAAAAGTGGTGATAGTAGATAATCATGTCTTATTCCATATCACAAGTAGGAAGGCATTCAGTCCTTCAACACTAATAATGATATTATATGTAGGTCTGTTTAAGATGCCTTTATTGAATTATGAAAGGTCTCATCTATGCACAATTTCCTGAGTGTCTGCAAATAAGGATAATTTGACCTCCTTCTTTCCAATTTAGAATTTCTTTCTCTTCTGTAATTGATCAGACTAGGGCTTCTTTTCTGAGGATTTGCAAATAAATGTGTTTTACACTTTCTCAAATGCTGTTCTGTACACATTGAGATACTTTCTTAGTCTGTTAGTATGGAGACATTCATTGAATGACTTTTTTCATATTCAACCAACTTTGCATAATTGGGATGCTCCCCATTTAGCTAGTGTATTTTCTGTACATATTCTGATGTATTCTATTTTTAGAATATATCATTTTTTTAAATATTTTTCTCATCTATGTGCATAAAGACACTGATCTATGATATTCTTTTCTTTAAAAAGTCTATTTTATTTATTATAAAATAAGTCTACCTTGAAACTGGATCGAGCCGGCCAGCAGTTCCAGACACCAGGCTGCCTGAGGCTGCAAGCCTGACTGCCCTGGACCTCCACGCATCCCCACCCCTACTTCTTTTTGGACCTCAGGTTGGTTGTGTGGGACTTTAAGATGAACTCGCACCCCACCCCACCCCACTCCACCCCACCTGCAAACCGGATCAAGTCAGCCAGCATTTCCAGATGCCAAGCGGCCTATGCCTGCCAGCCCATCTGCCCAGGACCTGTCACTAATCCTCTGGCCTTTCCCCACTTGCCTTTGGACTCTCTGAGTTTTAGTGATGTAAGTAGCTTGCGGTACGCAACACACACCGCATGATACCTTTTTTTGTTTTGTTTTTCTTTACTCTTGTGTTGCTTATTAGGTCAGGTGGAGGTTCACCACTCCTTAGAAACAGGGAGAACTTTGGGCTATCCAAGACTAGTGGCAACAGTTAATGGTAATGGTGAGCAACAGGTAGGACAACCATAAGAGAAATCATCAATTTTCTAATCCTGTACAACTTTTAACACTCAGAGATACCTTAAATAAATTAGGAAGCAACATATAGATTACCTGATGACTAGGAACAATTGCATAGTCTCAAGAAGTATGAGCAAACAACAAAAGACCTCTCCCTCAAGGGAAATCATCAAGCCTACATCACCCATAGTCAATACAATGGACATCATGGACATGTCTGATAAGGAATTCAGAATATTTGTAGTGAACAAACTAACTGAGATGGAAGAGAAAAGAGACAAAGAGCTCTAGGAGATGAGGAAATCCTTTCATGACTTGAAAGAAGAAATGGATACCTTAAACAAGAACCAGATGGAACTTATAGGGTTGAGGAATGTGATACAGGAAATCAAAACCTCCCTTGAAAGTATTAAAATTAGGTTAGACCAGGCAGAAGATCAAATCTCTAACATAGAAGACAAAACATCTGACCTAGAAAAAGGCATCAAGAAGATTGAGAAAACAATCATGAAAAAAATGAGAATATAATAGGAATACTGGATACCATCAAGCACCCCAACATCCAGATAATTGGTATCCCAGAAGAGGAAGAAAATAATAAAGGCTTAGATAATTT